GGGAGACTCCTCGCTGAGGACTGTGGATAAGTTCGCTTGCCACTCTCGTTTGCTTACCCTCGAAAATAATTACCTGAGAAAGGACCGTCTGCCGGCTTAGTGGCAGCTGGTTCTTTCCGTGTCTGACAGAATGCTAGTGTGTGGAGACTTGACTATTGAAGAAGGGGGAAAAAAACATATGTAGGAGAACAGGAGTGCTCAGCTTTTCCCTTTGGTGTGAAGCTGACAAACTTAGTGTTATGTGGCCCAGATGGGCCATTTTTTGGTGAGCCCTGTTTTGCTTCTCTGTGCAATGGGACTAACAGAACTTGCTAGTGGAGAGACCACTGAGGCTGGAGAGGACAGCTAAACCTTGCCAGCAGGAATCAGCTGCTCATTAAATGTTAATAGCCAATAGTGAGGAGTCTGAGCTTTCTCAGAACATATGAAATAATACGTCAACAACGTTCTATCACTAGACTGTGCCCATGAGACAATCAAATTTAAAGAGAAAAGGGTTAGGCTGGCCCAGAGTTTGTTTTGGAGGTTTCAATCCGTCATCAATCACTTCCTTCTTTGGGGGCCTGTGGCAACCCAAAACTTCATGGTGGGAGCACATGGTGGAGCTGATCTGCTCACCTCACAGCCAGGGAGCAAAGGGAAAAGAAAGGGGAGGTTCCTGGAGTCCTCTCCTAGGGCACATGCCAGTGACCTAAGGACTTTTTTTTTCTAGTCCCTGCCTCTTCAGGTTTGATCACCTCCCCTTAGCCTCACTCTGGGGACTGACCCTTCCATCTGAGGGACTTTAAGAACATTTAAGGTCTTGAGTACAGCGGACATAAGCCAGTGCTTCCAGAGGTCGGCAGACCCCAAAGCTGTAGAGCACATTACCTCAGCCATTTTCAAATGAAGTCAGAGACGCTTCAGAGCGTTTTCCAGGATTCAGTCAGTCCTAGGGTGTAGCCGGCCAGCAGCCACAAGTCGACCGGGTTCACCTGAAAAGAGGGCTGGGAACGAAAGGGGGACGGAGAGAGAGAAAAGATGAAGCCAAGACAAAGTTCTCTGATCAAGGCTCAATGCTTTAAAGTTCAGCTTTCAATTTAAAGGGTAAGACCTTGCCCGAACCCTTCCTAGTTTCAGCCGGGAGAGTTGGGTGGGATAATCCATTCTTGGTCACGGGTCACAGCTGGAGACATCTCAAGGCAAGCCCAGGGCAGTTCTTCTTTCAAGTTCCTATAGCAGGCTGTATGTGCAGCCAAGATGGGTGACTCCACCTAGGTGTCTAGTGACATGCAGCCAAGGTGGCTAGTTCCACCTAGGTCCTATTATTTGCTCTGTTGTGCTAAACAAGGTCTCTCAGGCCTGCTCAAGGCCGGGAAAGGGCACACTAGGGTCCTCTGTCAAAAGAGAGGCTCTTGGAGGTTCTGTCCAGTGCACACTGTCTGAGCTCTTAGCTCGGCATTTTGGCCAAAATAGAAGAGTGGCGGTCTCTCTAAAAGGATCCACCACCAGTAACTGTTAATTCAGATTGCCTTAGCTGAAACAGGGATTAAAAAAACGTGGGCGGGGGGGGGGGCTTATGCTACTCAGTGTTCTCTGCTGTGATCTAATACCTGACAAGAAGCAACGTAAGGGAGAAGGGCTTACATATGTGCTCACAGTTTGAGAGCACAACCATCTTACCCAGGAGAGGATGGCAGGGGGAGGGGTTCTTGGGTGTGGCTTCAGGAGTGTGAGGCTGCTTGTTCATAGGGCATGGATCAGGAAGCAGAGAGAGAAGAAGTTGGGTGTTCATTTACCTTTTTCCTTCTTCCCCTTTTTATTCAGTCTAGGACTCATGCTCATAGGATGGTGAGCCACATTTGGGGTATGTCTTCTCTCCCAAGTTAACCCTTCCTAGAAATGTGGTCCCAGCAGCACCATGACATGACTGGTTCATTCTTAGACCTAACCTGCAGACAATATGAGTGATCCGTCGTACATCTGTTAGAGGGATCCACGCCATTGGCTCTCACTGGTTATCTCCTATGGACTCTGGTTTCACAGATAAATCTTTCCCATTAGAATGTTTCTCCAGATTTTTTCGGTGCCTCGGTATACCCTATTTTTCTGCCGTTCCCTCCTAATCCCTCGCCCCCATTTCTTGCCTGCTGTTAAAAACAATGTCCGGAACACCTTGAAGGGACTGACTACATTTGGCGGAATCATCTTCACACCCTTGGACAACTGGAGGCATGCACTTGTTCCCCCAGCCTCTCTCAAAAGTGGCCTTTGTGGGAATTTTGTTCTATCATTGGTAGAGTCATGGCACAGCCTTGATAACCAGAGGTGATCATGTGATCCATGACTCATGTGACCCCCCCATATATATTTCATCAAAACAACTCTTATCTTGGGGAGATTAGGCCAGAAACGCTGGCATTGTTCACATAGACCCACATTTGATACCAATCTTAATGTGGAATGTTCCAAGGTCCTTTTCTTAGATTCTGAACTCCAGATACAGAGCCACTCAGGACTCAGCAGGATTCTGTTCACATCCGTCTGTATCATGAAGTTTCTCAGCCGTGCTGGGTTGATCAGCAGGGCCATTTGCTTAACGTTAGATGTATGGTTTCTTACTTCAGTAAGCATTCCTTTTGCCTGTCATCTCTAGCCCCCTTTCAACACCTTCTAGCTGCTCACTGAAAATCATGAGCTGGGATTTCATTCCCCATGGTATCATGTGCCAGTTTGTATTCTTCTGAGCTCACCCACTCAAACCCAAACAAAAAAAAAATTTTTTTTTGCTGTTAAAACTTACTATATTTAAGCAATCTGCCTTTCCAATCTTGAAAAACAGAGAAGAGGAAGAAGACACATGCTTCTGTGGTGTGCAGTCATTTCTGATGAATGTGGATACTCGGGTGGATTCTATATGTTCAACAAGTAAATATTTATTGTCTTATTCTTCCAAAGCAATATTCTTGCAGTCCTTTAAATTTTTTCTGATATAAGGCTGGGAATGTAGGTCACTTAGTGCTTGCCTAGCTTGCACAAGGCCCTGGGATTAATCCCTAGAACTGAATAAACTGGGGTGTGGTAGTCTGTAATCATATTACTCTAGAGATGAAGGCAGAAGGATCTTACATTTAAGATCATTCTTATTTACATACCAAGTCCAAAGCTAGCCTGGGCTACCTAATATCCTGCTTTTTTAAAAAAAATGATGTAGATAAATTTATTGATGTTAAAGGAGGGGTTTATATCAGCTGTAAAACATCAGTCGGCAAAATGATACGAATACCCTAAAGACGTGTTAAAAATAATTATGTCCATATGTATGGGGTTTATCTCTACTTCAAATGCTTGGATGTATCCATGAGTGTGGGAAAGAAACTGGCGTGTAAATGAAAATATTTATACTGGTTCTCAGAGGGACTTTTTCTCATTTTTGTTACATGAATCCCTCCCTCCATTTCTACCATCCAATTGCTCTACAGTAAATAGTCTTAGTCTGTCTTCACTTGTGTCATCAGACTGGGGCAGTGGGGAGACGGTCAGTGCAGTTCAGGTACTTGCAGCCAGACAGATTCTAAGACTGTCTCTATAGCTCTCCCCTTGTTACAGATACATCAGTTCGCAGAGCCAAAGGGTAACCAAGGCTGTTCTTTTTATTGTCTCTCCTGCATGCCTAGTTCCGCGGTAGGACTCCCAGAGGGGCACCCAGCAGCTGGCAGGATCATCACCATTATGCAAATGAGGAAGACAAGCAGAGGGCTCCCCTGGTTGGAATCATTCAGTTAAGGGTGGCAGAGCTGAGAAGCACACTGGGGCAGACTCTGAACTTGGCTTTCTCAGGCCTGTCACTCTTCCTGTAGTCTTGTCTGTCTTGAGGATAAAAGGGCTCTTCCTGAGTGAGCTGCTTATAACCTGCTACTTTTAAAGATGGTGTCAGAGGTGTAGTTAGGGTGTCCCAGTGTCCACCACTTGTACTGTCTCTGGCCATCTTTTCAGTTAGGTCTTGTTCTTCTTGGCACCCAAAATTACATCTTAGATGGCATGGTCTGGGACTGACAGATAGCCCTGTGGAGTGGGTGCCACCTGAGCATGGACAGTCTTCTCTCAAGCATGCTGAGGCAGGCCTTCCCAAATCTGAGAATCCACCTTTTGGCTGGTGGGGACGCTTAGCAAAAGCTCTCCACATGGCCTCATGGCCTCTTGGTTTCGTGGCTTCATGACTTCGTGGCCTCATGACCTCATGGTTTCATGGCTTCATGACTTTGTGGCCTCATGGCCTCATGGCTTCTGTTGTCATCTGCTGACCCTCAAGAGATCCTCAGGAAGAGGTTAGGATGGAGTCAGGGATGAAATGAAACCTGTTGGGATAGCTTTGCTTCACATCCCCTCTAGACCCACAGAACTCCATTCAAAGTCTCTGGAGACTTTTAAAGCTTCCATCTTGAACTGGGATGGAGCTGGAACTCTTCTGCTTTCAGTGTTAATAGCCTCCACAGTTCAGCCTTCCTCTGACCACTCAGGTTAGCTTGGTTCTTTCCCACAGCTGACTGGATCAGTCAGCACTTGAGACATAGTGACCACTGTGTGATGTTATTCAGTGGGATTAAAAAGAGATTCCTATCCACTTCTTGCCCAGTCTGTGTTCCCTTGTAAGCCCAGTTACAGAAGGCTGTGGGTCAAGACACAGGGGTGTGGCACCTGGGGGAAAAACAAACTACAGTGAAGGAAGAAGAGAGGGAAGTTTCAAAGGACCCACCTACAAATATTTTCTACATACCACAATGTATGTGTTTTGTCATAAGGGCCATATAACTCATGGTAAACAAACCATGTATGTTGTGATTTTCTGTACATTGATTGTTGATAGGTGTTTAAAATATATATTGTCAGCTACATAGCACCATATGTATCTTTTAGCCTCTAATATCCTGGCCCTCCCCAGGCCTTTCCAGCTGTGCCTATTCAGAAAATGAGTTCCAAGCTGTTTTCTAAATCTTTGTTTTCTTTTTTTCTTCTTCTTTCAGTTTTCCAAAGAAAATAGACCAAATCTTTCTTCTTGAGAAGAAACGAATCTGCTGTTGACAGAGGGTGAGTGAACTCTTAAATGTACCATTTACTTGGTGTTTGATGATATAAGGCCCCAAGATCAAGCATTTGATAAGTGGTCTCAAGTTTGGAGTCAAGACACTCTTTCTGCCCTCTACCTCATTTCCCTGGGCCACTCCTAGAAAAGAAGGTTTTGCTCAGAGCCCTTTCTTGACATTTCTTGCTGTCCTCATATCTCCTCTCCTGAGCTCCCTTTGTGGGTGATGTCACCTTGTCCAGCTTGCAGAGAGATCAACAGTGTGAGCATGTTTCCTTCCATGACTGGTGCACAGAGATAAGCCTGTGGGCAAGGGGAGACTCTCTGTCTAGTTCACATGGCCTTGTCTTGTGAGTGCCATGAGAAAGAGCAATTGGTTATGAACGGTCTGTAAAACCTCCCAGGCTATCTGGGAAAGTCCCTGTGTGCAGATGTGAGAGCTGGGGGCTAGAGGGCTCCAAGAGACCTGTGACATCATAGACAGAAGCAGAGCTAGGGGCGTGAGAACAGCATTTGACTCTTAGCTATGTGGTTCCGTGGATAGATTATTGTTTTTAACCCACAGCTTATTTCCAAGGGGATAAATTCATTTATATAATTCAACTGAAATAAAGTACCAGTAAGATAATAATAATTGCCTGTTACCCTAAGGTAAATGCTAAAGTAGTGCTGTTTGGCTTCGTAGTTGCTATGCTACCAAGAAGGGTTGACAGAATAGGTGTGCCCAGAAGCCATCTGATGTAGTTGTCAATGGCAGGGGCATATGTTGCATGACTCTGCCCAGGAATGTGTAAACAAATAGCCATTCATCTCAGAGAGGGCAGCAATGCCATAGCAAAGGATTGAATCCAAACACACATCAAGCTTAGTGGACTAGAGATTTTCCCAGAATAAAGAAAGGCAGAGATAGGGATACTTGGAGGAACACGGATGGATCTACAATCCGCACCACCCAGAAGCCATTCCAGCATGGGTGACAACTCAACATCAGTCACCCATGAAGCTCCCCACCCTGCTTGCAGGGAATGTAGAAGTACCTGGGATGTCTCTCATCATGCAGCAGTTGCTTGCCACTGATATAGTCTCATAAAGGGGCCCGTGAGTTCTGTAAGTTTAGTGAGCTTCCTGAGTCCCTTGGGTTCCCCTCCCCTTTGGAGAGGGGGATATTTGAACTCAGACTGAGTAACTGCACAATTGTATATGTTCTTTTACTCTCTTTCCAAATCAGTGCTTTGGCAGTGCCACGTTGTCACAGGCAGAGAGTAGTCAACACATGTGTTTTGCAGTGAGGAGCAAGCCTGAGGCAGCTGACTAGATTATATTTACTGTCAGTGAGCAGAGAGAGGAACGACATGGCTCAGCTCACTCGCTTTATTCAGTCTGGGAGCCCAGCATATTAAACAGTACCACCTGCATTCTAGTGGGCCTTCTCCCCTCCATTAAACCTTTCTGGAAATAGCCTCCCAAATACTTTCAGAGGTGTGCCTCCTAGTTGATTCAAAATCCTGTCAAGTTGAAAATCAATACATATTCCTAGAAATTGCACACACACACACACACACACACGGGGGTGGGGGAGGATGTGGATATGAAGGTGTGTGGTCCTCCACAAGACCCAAAGGCCTTATAGAATCAAGATTTTACTAGACTAAACCCAAGAGACCACTAAGAGGGGAAATGGCAAACTCTGTATCTACACAGTATTATTCTTTGTGTAAAGAGTGAAGTTTTAGACAAGGATCTAAGGCCAAAAACCAAACAAACAACTGTAGAAAAAGGCAAGCAGGACCCCCCTCCCCCCAGAGCTCATGCAGTACAACTATAAATGACTTGATCCTATGTTGGAGTCAAGTCAATAGTTTGTTCTTGACATTCAGGGGGGAATTAATTATGTACAACATCATAAGCCACTTGTTCTTTACCAATGAGATGCAAAGTAAATTCAGACCGTAGCCATAATGGTTTTGTAGGGATTGGGGAAATGTCTAGGCCAAGAAGAAGCACGAGGCTGTGGAGTAGCTCAGTAGTATGGTGTTTACTGGGCGTATGGAATAAGACCCTTGGATCTACCCAACCCCAAAGATAAACAACATAAAAAGTAGCAACCCAAAGTAGATCGGGGATTGGTCCTACTTGTACCTTCACCTTGTAAAACACAAGTGGCTAGGTTCTGTATCTTATGATGGGGCCCTGGACCAATGCTGCACTCAGTTTATAATGGCACTTATCATGGATGGTGTACCTTTAAGGGAAATCCAGTGAGTGTTCTTACCAGCCCTGAGATTATACTTGCTAGAGGCCAAATGGCAGTGGCATGTGTTTGCTTCTATAGCAACATGTCTGTGCAGCCAGAAAATATGTGTGTGTGTGTGTGTGTGTGTGTGTGTGTGTGTGTGTGTGTGTGT